AGTTTTCCTGATGGCTTTCGGTGAGCAAACAATGGGCTACTGTACTTTGATTGTGATAATGTCGTTATAAGGCCAAAGTAATGCATAAGTGCAAGTTCAATTGTTAATTCTTTTCGTAGGTGGATTGGCGTAGGCGGACCTTGTGTGTACAGAGGTCGTTGGTGTTCCGGTGTTAGTTTGATTTGCAATTCCGAGTTGTATCCGACATCAAATCGATGTTTGGCAAATATATCCGAGTATTTAACAAGTAAATGTTCCACTTGTGACCTTTGCTCATTTGTCAACACGGAATTTTCCCAATTGAATTGATCTAGAAATGTCAATCTATCATGGTCACTTGATTTCGGTTCACAAAGTTCAAGATTCTTAAAATGGAGGATCTGGTCATAGATCTCCCGTTGAATTGGGGTAAGAATGTTAGGGTTTTCACACGTTTCCGGTGTCGGGAACCAAAATTTTTCATACTCTGGCTTTGGTTTGATAGGTTTCACGTCATTTGATTTATTCACTTGAATGAGCTGATTGATTTCATGTTTCACATTTTCCGGGTTGGTCATTTTTGCTAAAGCCAACGTTTGTGGGTCAATCGGGATGATATTTTTCATGTCTGTTGATGTTAAGATCGAAAAATTTGCGATTGTGCTCTTGTTCGGCAAAGTTATTACATGATCGGTTACATTAAGTGCTGAAATATACAGTTTGCTATCATCTGTAGTCTCACTGATTGATGACATTAGCGCAATATTGGATTCGTCTTCAAATTCGGGGACTGGTACAACTGTTCCGATAGTATTTTTAATGTCGATCTCGGTAAAACACTCTAAAAGCACCGTTTTCTGCGGCGGAATAACGTATTTCTTCGAAAGGATTACTGGTACTCGGAGCGCTTGTTTTTTATGTCGTTTAGAACTTGGGGTTTTGATTTCATTTATTTGAATTGTTACATCGGGAAATTTCAAAAGATCATATTTCGGACAAATTTGTACGTCGTGTTTTTTATAAAAACAGTTTCCTAGTATCATTGAATTCGCTGTTGGTAACACACGGAAAATTTCCGTGAACGTTTTTGCTGCAATTTTGAAACATATTGTTGCTTCGATCTCTATTGGTACAAGTTGACCTCCGGCCATTCGTACTCGTTTCAATTTCGACTTTTGTGTCACTATTTCTTGATATAAGAATTTATCCGTTTTAAGGTCGTTGAAATTTGTCTGTGATATAACATTTGCACACGCTCCTGTATCGACCAGGGCGCGCCTAAAGGTTTTGGGTGCGAATTGAAGTTTGACATAAGAAAGTGTTTTGTCGCTTTCCGGTATAACAGCATATAAATCAAGTATTTCGTGTGGAAATGCATTTGATAGCTTTTTATTGGAATTACTATTTTCGGCTTCATTTTTCCCCAATTTATTCAATCGTGAACGTTTTGAGGTTTTTATGTTTTTTCGGCGTCTTTTCGGTTTAGCGTTAGGTGTTTTTTGCTTGGTATCGTTTGTTTCGGTTTTTCGTTCTGACTCTTGAATCGGTGGCGCTATTAGTTTTTTGACTGATTTTGGAATGGGAAGGATTGTCCCCTTCCTTGAGGTTTTGGTCTCATATAACATTGACTGGCAGTATGGTTAGGGTAACCACATGTATCGCAGAGCACAGGGGTTGATCGAATTACGGGCATATACGGGCCGTTTGGGGCTTGAATGTCAACGTTTGTTGCTTGCTGTTGGTTGACTGACTGCTGTTGGAAGTGGTTCGATTGTGGGTACTGGTTCTGGTAGTTCTGATTCTGGTAATTCTGATTCTGGTAATTCTGATTCTGGTAATTCTGATTCTGGTAATTCGATGGTCTCCTAGGCCATTGCTGCTGATTCCCAGGGGGGAATGGGTAAGGACTTCGGAAGTTTCCTCCTCTTCCTTGGTATCCGGATCTGAAGTTGTTTTGATAAAGGTACTGACCTCTAAAGTTATTATTCCCTCTGCTATAATGATTTCTGGGTGAGTATTCGTTCGTGTATTGTCCGGAGTAGGGTTGTCTCGGCTGGTAACCTCTACCTCCTCCACGAAATCCTCGTTGGAAACCACTATTATTATTTGGGAAACGATTCTGCTGATGCTGCTGTTCTTGTTGTTGTTGTTGCGTTTGCTGATTTGTTGATCGCTGTGCGGATGTCGATGCTTCTTGACGATCTCTATCGTTCATTTGAGTTCGAATTTCGTTCACTTGCTTCTCCATAGCTTCTTGCGTCGCAGTAAGCTTCGATAAGGCGCTGATAAGATTATCAGACACAGTCTCACTTATTTCGTTAAATCCATCCTCTGGATAATCTTCTTTTCTGCACATATCTCGGATGACCAGCTGTCTCCTTGCATACATACAAAGGTCTTGTACCGTGTTACCCGCAGGCTGTTCCATGAGCTTTGCACGAAGCCATCCAGGCATAGCTTTTACAAACAGTCTTCGAATTTGTGCGTCTCGATGATCCCTTACTGCGTCCAACCGTTCTTGACGATGTGCAGTTTCTCTGGCATGTCGTGCTGCTTCTAATGCGGCATTGACAGCTGCTGCATCAATTGGGTCAGGAATTGGTATTTCTGGCGTTGGGTACGCTTTTTGCGCTTTTTTCTGTAAGGTCACCAAGAAGTTTTCTGGCGTATCCTTCTTTAAGTCGCATTTTTGCTGTTCCAATTTCAAGACATGGACTTCTTGGAGTTGCGGATTACTGAAATGATCGCGCAACGCTGTTAAGCTGTCGAGTACGTTTGCTCTAGTCGCATCTGGTAATGTCTGGTAGAAACGAAGTGCATTATCACGCAAGTGGAGTTGTAGAAAATTCGCTTGTTGAGCCGGTAATACGCCTGCGACTCCGATGAATCCGTTGAAGAGTTGTTCGAATTGTGAAAAATCTTCGGTATCCGTCCCTCCGTACGGGTTAACTGAGATTTGAGCGTGCGCCATTTACAGTTTTATGATTTTCAGTCTGTTTTCAGTTAGGTTTGAACAATTTATAAAATTTATATGAACGAACTGGGTTGGTTTTATCACGAAAAAGCTGATATTTTAGCACAGCGCGGTTAAAATTGTTAGTAAGGCTAATTCAATGCTAATGCTGATTTCGATTTTAGAGTTTTCCGTCTTTAAGCTTCAATCTACTGCATTTACGCTCCTCCAATTTTCAATGATTTCCAATGATCATGATTGATTTCAATGTTTTTTGATTTGAGCGCACACCAATTTAATACTTCTCACTAATATATAGCACAAGAGTCTTAATAGTTTGACCTACAAGTTTGTAGAGACGAAAGTTCTCGAGTTTTCCAGTTACTTCACTTGAATGTAGTTTCCTCAATTGACAGAATCACAAAACACTCATTAGTAAGTTCACATTTCTGATTTGACAGTTGCTGCGCTTGATCTACTGTTTCAGCTCGCCCTCAAGATGTCGTCTAGCTGGATTTCGTCTAGCTGGATGAGTGGAGATTGTCACTGTACTGTCGTTCGCGAACTATCACCATGTAATGCACTGCTTTTATTAATTAACCCGCATGGTTTCTAGATGTTATTGCATGTTATTAACTGGAGTTGATTTAGCAGTATCTCAATACGGACGCATGGGCCCCGACAGCATGGATTCTATCTCTATCACTTTCTCAGCTGTTTGAATTTAACTTTGGTTAGTAAACTTTATTACTTTCAGCTAGCTCGATATTCAATATTATGTCCCAACTAATAACTCACTATTTACTTTTAATAAACACTAACTTGTTCAACTGCATGCTTGGGATTTTAACATTAATAATTTATGACATCAATTTCTAATATAGCACTTATTTCATGGCTATCAATAGCGTGCCATTTATGGGTACGCTACAAGCTTAGATGCTACCAAATGCACAGAACACTCCTTGCACAGAATCTATGAAGAAAACAAATTCCAAAAATTTTAAAAGAATATCATGGAAAAAAATCAATTACTTGCCCAAGAGCGGAATACACAGAAATGATTTTTAATGAGAAAAAATTGCCCAAATTTTAGGCAAATTTGGTGCTGCTGCAACTACGCTGACAAAAAAAAATCAGACAACCAGAAGTCCGACAAATATTTCTTTGACGCGCGGACAGTTAGCCGCTAACAAAAACAACAGGTCCTGGCCTGATTCGAACAATTGACCATTGTCTTTATAGACACGCGTATAAGCTGCTCGTCATATGCGCGAATTAGCGTCTGCCTTTTGACTTCAAATAATCCAAAGGTTAAATGATCGAAAAGATTCTGTTAACTAGTTGTGGACCCGAAAATAAGTCTATATTTCAGTTTGATAACGCTTGCTAATCGCAAGCGTAAAAAGGAAAACTTTAACGCAAACATGATGAATTATGCCTGTCTCGTTAAAATGACTGACACAGTCGAAACTAGAATCTCATGTACCGCAAAATAATAGGACGTCACAAGCTAAAACCTGTGAACAAAGTTTCTTAGTCTCAGACGAAATTCTATAACCCGATATCAAAACACTTGCTTTAAAAAGCCAAAAAAAACATCAAAAAATCTTGGAAATCAAATAACTGCACTACTAGGGATGTTATAATTGGAGTCTTAAATAGTAGAAAATGCTGAACGTTCGAGAAGTAGACGGCCGATAGTCCAAAAATTGGATTTTATAACGAAGAAAAACTTCATACGTTTGCAAAAGTGCAGTTTCCACCCGGACTCTTTCTCCATTATCTTTTTAACCTCTGCGCCACATAGGTAGAACTATTCATTGACATTTTTGTACAGCAATTTCCTTATCACTGAAATTATTGTAAGCAAGTTTCTTCTGATTTGCGAATTCTGTGAACAATGTGGCTAGGGAAAAGTCTAGTTAAGTCTCGGTTTTTGGGTATTACTCTTGCCTTACCATGGCAATTTTGGTATTATATTAAAAATATTACAGCTATAGAAAGATAAATAAATGGATCTGAGAATTATTTGAACTTTTACTGGTAAGTGCTACAGAACACTAACCTTACTTGGGAGTCGACAATATTCTGCAAAATCACATCTTGACCATCAACTTTTTCCCCTTGCAGCTCAATATTTTGATTTTTTATACATTCAAATAAGGGTTTTATTAACATTTCGGAAGCGGCTGGCTGAGACTGGGTTTGCTTTTGAAGCGGTGATGCACTTGCCGACGTTGACTGAATCGGTTTCCTTTTCAATTTGAATGCAAACTTTTTCTTGGGTTGTAAAGCGTCCCGTAATGCAGTTACACTAATCTGAAGGCTAGTAATTTGAGACTTATAGCTTCCTATTGAACGTACTGGAAGAAAATTTGTAGATTCGTTTAAATTCTTTTGCAAAGTTTCTATTCGAATCGCTATGTTTTGTAATTCTGTTTGAAGAGGCTCTAGCTCTACGCCAGGTGAAAAGGTAGCATTTTCAATTTGGGCAAGTTCATAAGTCAACTTTTCGTATTCCGAAGAAAACGCAGCTGCAAAAAGATCTTGACTTTCATGTGATGCTCTCTCTTTATCGCGTTTTTCGTTTCTTACAGCAATATCAGCCAGCCTTTGCGACTCTCTATCCGCCAGAAGTTCGCTCAGGTATTTCTTTTTATCTTCAGGAGACATAACATCGCTGTTATTGTTGTCAAAATTCTCTACTTCAGATAGCATTTTTCTTGATATCTTCCAAATAACTACGCTTTTGTTTCCATTCAACTTGAAAAAATTAGAGGTTACATGCTGGTAAAAGTATTTGAACCCACAGAGAGGCGAAGCATAGCTTCGCACCAATTGCGATACCACGCAAACAAAGCATGACAAATTAGCAAAAAGAAATTGATACAGAAGCTGCTGAGCTGAAAAAAAGTTTGAAAATGTTTAGAGAAGCTTGATCCACCGATACATTTTATATTTTTGTCTTGCTGTAACAGTCGCCTACTTCGGTCACATATGAGGCTTAAGAAAAATAGGCCCTATAACCATTGGCTCAAGAGTCAGGGACACTATCTCTTGTGTTTTTCTACCTCAAGAACGGTCGGAGCCAATTCGGTTCGCTTGCGACATGAGACTAGAACCCGTTACAGCTTAAAGGCTACTACCAAAATATCCCCCCACTCTAGAAAAAAAGAACGTCCCTATACTTAGGTCTCAAAATACCCAAAATACGCGAACGCCGTTAAAAACAGGGTTGGAACAATCCGTTAAGTTACTTTTTATTGGACAGTGGAACTTTGATCCATTTCAGATGGATCAACCTAAAACTCGCCTTATCTCAACATAACAATCTTAAAACACACTCGAGAAATTTAAATTGGTGTAACATTCGTCTACTGCAGTCACACATGAGGCTTAAGAAAAATAGGCCCTATAACTATTGGCTCAAGAGTCAGGGACACTATCTCTTGTGTTTTTCCACCTCAAATCAGTCGGAGCCAATTCGGTTCGCTTGTGACACGAGACCACGACCCGTTACAGCTCAAAGGCTACTACTAAAATATCTCCCCCCCCCACTCTAGAATTAATAACGTCCCCATACTCAGGTCTCTAGATACCCAAAATACATGAACGCCGTTAAAAACCGGGTCGGAACAATCCGTTAAGTTACTTTTTATTAGACAGTGGAACTTTGATCCATTTCAGATGGATCAACCTAAAACTCGCCTTACCTCAACATAACAATTATAAAACACACTCTAGAATTTTAAATTAGTACTCACATTGTAGCACGCTCAAGAATCAGGAAGTAAATAAGTCGGTGTGCAACTCAAGAATCAATAAAGTAACTAAAATGAGTTTAATGTTTGTCAGTTTTAATAACAAGAACAAGTTTGTACTCTAGAATGTCAGTTCTCGTGAACCATTGGGGACACTCTAGCTGTCCACCTTTCCACCGAAGGTTCACTCTAGTCCAGTTTAGAATAATACTCCAATCACAACAATCCAGTTCGTGGGGATGCGCTCGTCTCTGTTCTAGATGGGACAGCTCTACTCTAGATTTTTATCGCTACTGAAATTGCGAATAGCAATTTCCCACTGATTTTTCTAGCAACTTTCCCGCGGTTGTCACTCGATTGTTCTGACTTCTCTTTTCTGATTTTCAGTTATCGCGAGAAAATCGTGCATGACAGTTTCCATTCGAAATTTAAAAAAATTAAATTTCACTCCAAAATCAAGTGTTTTTTGCTTCTCTCAAGGTCAAACTTCCAAATATGACCGACTGGCACATACTCCCCGGTTTCGAGATTGATGTCCTCATCGCGTGCTGTCTTCTGCCAGTGAGTCCCAGAAAACCGAGTGTTACTCAAGATACAGTGCCAGTGGTCATTTACAGAAGTTTGCAGCAGACTTAAGCTTATCTACACCCCAAAATTCACAGCCATGTAAAATTTTCACATATCGCTAAACAGCAATCAAAATCTGCACACACCTGCACCCTTGAATTCTCGCTTTCCAAGCCAATCATTTAAAATTTCTTTTGTCCTATTCAATCAGGAAATTGTCATGCAGCATTTTGATTTATACAGTAAATATAGTATATTAATAACAATATTTGCTTTGTTAAAATTTCTTTTTCGTGAATCCACGTTTCACCCGGATCCACGCTCAAGCCCCCTTTCCCTCTCAAGACTCAAGATCCATTCGAGCCACCTACTCATCTCGCACTCTTCGCCTTGGAGGTACTGCACCCTGAAGTACTAGATACGGCAAACTGTCTCAACAGTTCCTCTTCATCATCGGAGCTAATCACAATCTCCTCCCAAGCCTTCAGCTGTTCGTAGGATCGCATCCATTCTCTTTGCTCTTGCAACCTCTTTGCCTGTGTGACATTCGACCAGAATGGCCAAAATGCAATTTATGCAGGATTCGAATTTTGAGCAGTAAGCCTTCCGAGTTGATGATTTCGAAGGATTAGCGACGTTATTGGAACGTTTAGCCAAACGGTGAGGGCTAGAATATTCTAGTATTTTAAATTTTCAAAAATTCGAATGATGACGTCACATTTCTGAGAAATGCTGAAACGGCCATTTTAACAAAAAAGCGAGTAAAAAACAGAACAACTTTATCTGTGATTGCGAACAGAACGAAAATCGAGATTAAAGAAAAACGACAACGAACTACAATAGCAGAGAACGTTCCAAGTTGCAACTATTGTGCTGCTACAATAGTTGCAAGGCCGTTGCCAACAACGGTGAAGGGTGAGAACCAGCCTTCCGGATTGGTGTGAAATTGAACTTGAGGAGCTTGATTCACTGGATTCAAGAATCCGGAAGGGTTTCGGGACTGGAACTTTTAGCCTTTTATATAAACTTTTAGCTTCTTGTCATGTCCTGAATTGAATTTAATTAACAACTGGATTCATTTTGATAAGGATGAGAAGCTAGGAGTTGGGGGAAAGGGTTGATCCATCTTCGATGGAGATGATGGTTTTTATCTACTGAACAAAAACAATAGTAATATAATAAGTAGTAGCCCTGTTTTTAGGAGTGACCTCGTGGTCTGGGGATACTGAGACCCAGCCATGAGCTCACTATTTTTGCATGTAATTCAGTTAATTTGAGCGTTCTGGTCGAAGCCGGAGAGCAGTAACGTTTTTGTCGACCCGATGTAAGAAAGACCACCGAAAAGTACTGGCTTGGTAGAGACGGTGAAAAACATGCAAAGCTCTGTTTAGACGCTAGCCAGTCGTCTTAAGACTTAGTTTTGTTATCCGTCGATATGTATCTTCTGGGCGAATGTTACATGTATGTTTTTATGGCGCTCCTGGGTGTTATTCTTTTTAACATCATGACCGGCAGAACCGTTAACGAGCACTCCGCGCCGAGCGGATGCTCACATTAACGCCCTTAATAGGTCTAAACCGCCGGGGCGGAAGGGTAGTTCGGAACGCGGAGGCCTTCCGAATTGCCGTGAATAGTTTTTTAACCTAGTTAAGACCGAAAATTCACGAACCAGGAAGGGTGGGGGGATCGGCCGTCCCCTCGTCCCCTGAGTGGTTGGTGACCAAAAACACTTAAAGATATAAGTAAAACCAAACAAAAAGTAGTATAGTACCCAAGAAAAACAAAAAACATAAAAAAATAACCGAAAAAACCAAAAACAGTAAAAAAGTAAAAAATCGGTAGAAATCATCCCCCCAGACAAGATGTGATTCAACCCCCCCGTTTGTTGTTGATAGATATATTGTTGTTACAGGCATTTATATCAGTCAGGATCGTTACGATCAATTTTGAGGCCCGTTTGTGAGGCTTGTACTGTAGGGTTATTTGAGCATTTAAGCACGTTAATGATAAATTGCGCTCAATCCGGAGGGGTCAGCTGATTTGCGCTCAATTCGGAAGGGTCTTGGGTGAAGACCGATCCGGCAAGCAGTACAAGGAGCAACAAGAAGGGGCTCAACGACAACAACAATCGACTGTTGGGTATCGTTAACAAGTTTTGTATCCCTTTTGGTACAAAAAGTAAGATAGTAATCTGTGGGGGGCTCGACAGTGCTGCACTGTAGTGACCCTTCACCGAACTGCGAATATCCGAGTTAAGCACCTTAATTCGGATAATAAACAAACCCGGAGGGGTATAGTATTACTAATATTATTATTTATATAGCCTATATTAATAGTCTTATATCGTTTTTCAGTGAAAAACAACGAAAACAGACCGGTTTTTAGGGTCAAAATAGCGATATTTTGATCCCCCCACAAGTCGCGATTTTTGAGATATCGATATTTTTTTGAAACGGAAAAAAGCGCTAAGTTAGTGTGTTACATCGTAACTGCACTACTGTAATAAGTAGAACCGGTTAACTTTAGTTCGGAAGTGGTTGGAACTAGTTTGGTACCAAAAACCAAATTTTCCCAATTTTTGATAGTAAGAAACACTATAAAATCAGAAAATTTTTTGAAATCTTTGAGTTAGGACAGTAAAAATAGTTGTTCAGACAACGTCCACTAGTGAATCTACGAGTTTTAAAACCGGCTACCCGAAAGCTTTCCGGGTTGCAGAGAAATCGAACATAACGTGTTTGATTTGGTGGATTCATCAATCCGGAGGGGTCCAGGTAGCATAGTTTTTCGCAAATTTTTTCTACAAAAGCGTTTTAGATCGGGTCTTTTGCATTGAACTAGAAGAGTATAGGTCTTGTGAGCTCAGATCAATAATTTTTAGGTCGAAAGGACCAGATTTGCGGAAAAAGTTAGGCGGAACCTATAAGAGAGAAAATTTTTGAATTTGGAAAAAAGACGTTTTGGTTAATAACTTTGGAACTACAGAGCATATCGAGTCAATCTTGGTACCATTAGATCAGAAATTAGCTGAACTTACTAGTAGGAAAGAGAATTACTCGAAAAAGCGAGCGAGAAAATTTTTTGAGATTGTTTTTAGCAAATTACACAAATCCGGAGGGGTACACCCTTCACGTTTTATAAATTTTTCTGAAAAACCCTTATACCCCTACCAAAAGTTGATAGCGATTGAACTAAGTAACTTAGGACAGTTCTAGACAAAAAGGGAAGGCTGAAGGCACAAGACAACCATAATAGAGTCGAAGTTAGGCAAGTGATAAGACCCTTCACCGTTAGTGTGAATTGTCAAATAAAGGCCTTAACTTCAATCCGGAGGGGTCTAGGAAAGGACCCTATACCCTTCCCAGTTAATTCAAACAGCATAAAAGCAACGCAGAACGAATCCGGAGGGGTATAAGCTGAAATTAAGAAAA